CCATTATTTTAAAGCGCACCTTCCAATCTTATTGAAGTCTGCGATGCCAGTTCATCCTAAAGTTCCTCCTACACTGCTACAGTTTCTCCTAAAGTTTCTACTAAAGTTTCTTCTGCTCCTTCCTCTACACAAGTGACTACATTTACTAAAAAGCGGACGACTGGTCCAAAAAGAAAACAAATTAGCTTAGATCGATGCGCTTCTTGTGAAACGAGCGTGCAACACACAAGAAACTGTAGACAGTGAAATCAAATTTCCCAGCACTAGTAAAGGAATTTCATCTGTAACTCCCAACACTGGTCCTACCTCAGAAAAATATAACACCAAAACACAACAAACTTCCACCAATTCGTGGCCAGATGATATCTAAACTACGTAAATCTGGTGTCCAGTCTTCCTGATTCAAAAAAGTACGAAATTCTGTGCAATCATTGCCATTGGAAACCTGGTTCTGATTTTTCTTTTCTTCCACGCGAAAATATTGGTAGACGTTTCCGGTTGGCATGGTTATCACGATTTCCATGGTTAGCTTACTCTGCTGTGGCAAACGGTGGTTTTTGCGTCACTTGTGTTCTTTTTGGCAGTGAAAGCACGCATAATGCAAGCGAGCTCCAACGATTGATGACCAGTGCTCTTCCTCCAAGTGCTTCTGCTGTCCAGAAACTATGTCAGCATGGTGAAAAATCCAATGTTAACACAACGGCAAATCTCCGTGCTATACAGTTTAAGCGAATGATCGAGAATAAGACACTTGGTATCGATGTGCAGCTGAAAACACCCACCCCGTAAAAGACCTACGTTGCAACTGAAACGCCAAGATGATTGAGTTCGATGTACAGCCCTAATTGGATATTTTTTGCTACGAAGAACCTGAAATACACAGGAACAGTACGTGCGGTACAGAATTGTGGTTTTATGTAAGTACAGTGATTTTGTAACATTCTAATGTTGTAACGTTCGCTGAAAAACATGGTATGTTGTTTAAATATTTGACTTATTTAGTGCGTTTCGTTATTTGCTGTCTAAAATATGGCGTAATTAATGACGAATTATATGATAGAATTCGATGCTCAGAACTCAGGAAATGGCATTTCCGGGGTTCAAATTTCAAAAATTTTCCGGGGGGGAATGCCCCCGGACCCCCCTAATTATGCGCGGTTTTGGAGTCCGCCACGGTCAGGGTTTAGGCTGGATCCGCGCCTGGACCTAGTACCGTAAGGGGTTCTGTTACCCTAGAGATTGCTCCTAACTGCAACTCTGACCCTACAAACTCAAATAGTCTAGTAAGGTTGCAATACCTTGAAAGGCACTCAAATAACTTATTAAAACTTAGCGGTTCACGAGCAATGACAGGTAATCTCGAAATGGGCGGAAATGAAATAGTAAATGTCGGGGCCCCTAGTGCTGATGAATCTGCCGTCAATAAAAAATGGGTAGAAGATAAGATTAGCGGTGGTAGAAGAAAGCGTGAGACCTACAGCGGACTTACACTATCCGATGACCTTGATATGGGAAACAATGAAATTATAAAGTTAGGTGCTCCTACAACTGATAATTCTGCCGTGTCTAAGAAATGGGTCGCGGATCATGTCAGTGGGAGTTCTGTAAGTAGTAGTGGCTTTACTATGAGCGGTAATATTGACATGGCTGGTAATACTATTACCGGGCTAAATAGTGGGTCAACGGGATCTTCTAGTGCTGTTTCTTACGGTTCTATGACTTCCTGGTGTTCACAGTTTCTTAAGCGTGATGGTGGCACTCAAGCCGGCAATTTAGATGTTAACGATTATGAGTTAACTAAGGTGGGTGATCCTACTACGGACGGTTCAGCTGTCAATAAAAGGTGGGCAACTGATGAGTTCATGAGTAGTAGAGGTGGATTGGTAAAGGGTGATTTGGATATGGGAGATTCAAGTGGAATTCTTGATCTAAAGGATCCTGTAAATGATAAGGATGCTGTTAACAAACAATGGGTAGAAAAGAATTTCCTAAAACCTTCCACCGGCCTTACTCAAGCAACGGCTGACTTAAGATATGTAAGAATACGGCGACATATACATGTAGAATGGATTTGGGGTTATAGGGGAGTATCAACCGCTGCAGCAAGGTACTATGCTTACTGTCACGATCAGATTCCACCTTCATGGAGAACAGATCCTATTGATAATATGACAGACCTCAACCTTGAGTCAATTACTATTAAATCAGACTTCCCAAGCATCTCAACCATTATAAATATACCACTAGCTCTAGTTCTATGGGCTACTGTTTGGGAGAAACAACCCGATGGAAAATTTACAAAAGTTAAAAAGGAAATCAATCTTGCCGCGGTCGACTTAAGAAGACTGTCATACACATGGTTTAATGGGACTTACACAACTACAGGTGGAAGTACAGCTTGCTACGTTTTCAAGGGTAATAGTATGTTCTATTTAGGAAATCAGGTCGAGTTGGTAGATAACACGCTGGCTTGGTGTATTATAGTTAAACCTGAACACTCAATGCCCACTGGATCGAGTATGGATATGTCCTTTTGCTGGTCACTTCGATATTCGGGGTCAGGTGTATAACATGTGTTGTATCATACAGTGTCATGTCAAAGTGGCGCTCATGCTTCTCCTGGTTAGGTAAGATTTGTGGTTGTCGTAAGAGTTCTAGTAAGAATGGAAAGGCCGGTAATATAAATTTCTCTGTATCAAATAATATTAACGTTGACGTCAACACACAGAATAATAAAGATGATTCAAGTAATGTGTTTGACCCTAAGAGCTTCGGCCCCTTGAGTATAATTAAATATGATAATAAAGATTAAAATAATAGATAAAAAAATGAGGAAAAAAAGACCACTGAAAAAATGGTCTAGAAAAAACTGAGCCCGCGTTTTTTTGGGAAAATTTGGGAAACCGCTGACCGGAAGTGGGGTGGGATCGCGGGCTGAAAAAGTGGTCTAGAACCGCTACTTCCTATACTACTGCCGTGGGTAACCATTCATTTTTAGAACATTTCTTAAATGTTCTAATTCATCGTCAATGTTACTTACCTCACAAATTGTTTTCGCTCGGTTGATGAGTGTCTTGCACACAGAGTTTTTAATACTAGGATGATGAAATGAATTATAAATTAAATGCAGATACCTGCCTGTATGTGTTGGTTTCCTATAAACCTTATGTCCTAGCGACCCATCATCATGTATAGTGAAAAGAACATCTAAGAACGGTATAGTTTTATCATCCATCTGTACTTCAAAAGTAAACTTAATCGATGGATGCAAACTATTAATGTGGTCTAGAAACTTTTGTAAATTATCTAGTCCATGAGACCAGCTACTCAATGTATCATCCACGTATCTGAACCAGAAACCTGGTTTCAACTTTGCAGTAGCTAAGGCCTTCTTTTCAAATTCCTCCATGAACAAATTAGCCATAACAGGTGACAATGGACTTCCCATTGGAGCGCCGTTTCTTTGTTCATAGAATTTCTCCCGCCATTGAAAACATATCAGAAGGGTTTATTCCTTCCTTATAACTCAAAGTGCCAGAACCAGTGTTTTTTTTTTCTAAGTTTTTTTCTAAGTCTTTTTTTTTCTAAGTTTTTTTCTAAGTCTTTTTTTTTTTTTCAGAATCTCGAAAAGAATTTTTTCGGAGTCTCGAAAAAAAAAAAAGGTTTACCTTCAAGTTTTTTTCAAAGTCTTGAAAAAAAGTGTTTTTTTTTCCCTCGGGAAAAAGTTTGAGTTTCCTTTTCCTTTAAAAAAGTTTTTTTCGAAGAGAAAAAGATATCAGGGTCCGGAAAAAGTATCTGTGAAAAAAGAAAGAGAATTTGTTGCGGAATCACCGTTTGACGATTGTGGATCGTTTTATAAGAGTTGTAAATAAATAGAGAGTAGTGATGATTTTACCTGGATTTATAGCGTCTAAGAAAGCTTTGATAAGAATGAAGAAAAGTGGTGACGAAAATTTTAAGTGGGCTGTGACGCGTGCATTGAATCCTGTGGAAAGGAATTCCGGACGAATTACAAAAATCATTCGTCTTCAGGCGGAAGAATTGAATTGGGAGGATGTTAGGTTTCCGACGTTGCCGGAGGATGCTAGTAAGTTTGTAAGCGGTAATGGGATCGGTTTGAATATAATTGGACTATCGGGTGATAGGATTACTACACTGAGGGTGGCAGGATGGAGCCATGAAAGGATCATAACGTTATTTTATCACGATGGTGTATATTATCCGGTAAGGAATATCAGTCGCTTGTGGACGAGTCAGATAAGCAAGCACCAGGAGTCTAGAATATTTTGTGATCGGTGTCTGATATCTTTTAACAGTCAGAAGGGATTCGACAGACATCGTCGCGACTGTTGTTACCCGCCATCGTCACCGAAGTATAATTCATGGGAGATATACAAGTTTAATCCTGGATTTTTGTTTAAGGGTGGTGTTAGGATGTTGCGTGTGGAGAGAAAAGTTTTTTTTTTACAAGGACCCGCTTTCTGTATTTGACGAAGACTTTGCACAGGAGGATTATTCTAGGACTATCCGCGATGTGTACTATCACCCAGGGCTCGCGCAAAGTATTTGTGCCAGGTGAAAAAAAAAAAAATTTCAATCAACACCTTATATAAATAAAGAGTACAAAGAAAAAAGATCGTAAAAATCCGGAACCTCTGTTACTTGCCATTTTTTCCATACTTGTTCGGAGTATGAAAAAAAAAATTATTAAATAAATGAAAGGTAGTAACAGAGGAAATTCGGTCGGTCAAAAAGGTATGAGTTTTAAAAAAAAATTTTTCGGTTCGGAAATCAAGAGACTTGCGTTGGAACGTAATAGACGAAGAATAGAAAAAAGCAACATAAGAGTATGGAAAAAAAAAATCTTATTTTGAAAGAACAATGTCATCGCATCGATGAAATTAAAGAAGATGGTGGTTACGATGAGATTGATAATACGGAAGAGGAAAGAAAAATTCAAACCTCGTAACACCTTATACGAAAAAAAAATACAATAAAGGATGTCAATCACCAAAGTCTCGGACTTCACCAAGGACTCGTTCCGTTTCGAAGATGCCGTCGCGAACAGGTACGGGTCTAAAAAGATTAAATTAACGGCATGCGATCAAGGTCCTCTTTTGTTAAAGGTGACGGATTGCTTATCTTACGGAGTGAGTAAGAATAACAAGTACGGTAAGGAAAATCTTTCCGTTTCCCTATCCCTTTGGGAAAAGTCCGGGTTCGTCTCCGTTTTGGAATTATTGGAAAAAGAATGTGCCAGACATATCGGTAAACCCGGGGAGAAGATAATGAAATGTCTTTATCGAAAAGGTAACACTCCGGTTTTGTATCCGAAGATCGATGACGAAACGGAGATGTACGAACCGAAGGGAGACGATCCCATCGATCCTGGAAAATATTTGGAGAAGAGATTTCGTCTCGATGCGATCGTTCGAATTGATGGAATTTTTATATCCGGAAGTACGACCTGTATTCAGGTCAAATTATACGAAGCCAGTATTCTGGAAGAAAAACCCAAGGTTCCGAGAAAAAGACTTTTACGAGATTGAAATTAATTTTTAATGAAAAAAAAATTCCATTAAATAAAAGAATGAATCCAGCAACAACGGTACTTTATTCTGCGATGAAATTAATGAGCAGCAACGAAACGGAAATTCCGAATGTAAGATTGACGGAAAGAGAAGCCGACGTTTTATATGCGACGTGTGCCATCTGTGCATCGTCCGCATTATCCATCTTGTTATTCGTATGTACAAAGTTGATCAAAATGTGTCGCGAGAAAGAAAAGAAAAAAGAGGAATTACCGGTTTATACACCGTCTGCGTGAGAATTTTAATTTTATGAGAATTAAAATTTATTCAAGATGATCAGAATCAGCAACAGTTCGAACGTGATCGGGATCAGGGGACAACTGATTAGACTCGTCCACAGTAACATTCTCCACAGAAGTAATTTCATCTTTTATTTTTCCATCATAATTTTTAACGGTCGTACTGACGTATCCGATCTGCGTATGAATGCTGGTCGTTGCATCTCCGCGATCGAATCCAAACCCAAGACTAAACATTTTTCGTCTCTTGTGGTTTTTATTATGTTTAACAACACTTTCGGATTTTGAAGAAAGACATCCCATCTTTTAATTAAATGATACCGTTTAATATGATCATCGTGGGAATGACGGCGTGTGGAAAAACCCATTATCTGATCGAAGAATTGAAGACGACGTATTTCCGTGAATTTTCCGAAATCTTTTTAATCTGTCCGACGTATCATTGGAATAAAACGTACGAGCAAGATTTTATTTACGACGATCCGAATTTTTATGTAATTCCATGCCATCACGACGACGTGGAAGATTCGATGAAATCCGTCGTGAATTATGCATCGGGAAAAGATGCGTTGATTATTTTAGACGATTGTGCGAGTACGAAATCCGTTAAGAACCGTACGAGCGAATTGGTGAAATTAGGATTCGGTGCACGTCATCGTCAGATTTCGACGATCGTGATTACACAGCAGTTGACGTCGATCGCCAAACCGTATCGCGAAAATATTCAGAAACTGGTGACGTTTTACAATCCAAACAGACAGGACATGAAAATTATTCTGGACGAATATCTGGGTGACGAAGATCCACAGAAATTAAGATCTGTTCGCGAGAAATTAAAAGAGAATAAGTATTCATACTTGGAAATAAATTTAATTCATCCGTATCATTATAAAATAAAGTACAAGTAATGGAAGGGGAAGAGAATACAACACATGAAAGGACGGAACAAGAAATATTCGAAGATACGCGAGCCGAATTAATTCGGTTATCGAACGCAGGTGAAATTAGTCAATCCGAGAATTATTTGAAAAAGGCAACACCCAAAGTCATTTTTAAAATCAAGCGGGAATACACTCTGAATCAACGTGAAAAAGCCAACGTTCTTCTTACGGAAACATTGATCGAAAAATTTTCGGGATTGTTGGAAAATCTTCGCATGATCGATAGCGGCGAAGAATTAAAAGAGGAATTAGGTCAGGACAAATTATTAAAAAGCGACGTGAAAAGTCTCGTTGAAAAAATATCGCCGTACATTCCATATTTGGGAATTTTAAGTGGCGGCGTGACGACGGTGAAACATGTGTACGGAAGGAAAGGAACGGAAGACGTGAAAGAGGAGGATGAAAAAACGGAATAGGGAACTTTTTCATATTTTCAGGAAAAAATATGAAAAAAGAAGTTATCGCGATATAGTTTAATATCGTACGCCACTCAATTGTCCGTTGACCATTTTAATCACGCCGTCGGAAAGAACGAATGTGTAACAGAGAACGTTGGCGGTCGTTGCTTTCTTCGTAATTTCGATGAGAATTCCAGATTGTGTATTTTGAATTTTGACTCGGTTTCCATACGTTTTCGCATCGTTTACCGTCCGCAAGTCGATGACCAATGCAAATTTTTTATCCTTGTAAAATTTAATCAAAGACTGTTGTCCGTTCGGATCGGATCCAAAAAGACGTTTAGCTTCTTCGTACATCCTCGTCTTCGATATACCCTGACTGTACACGACATTCGGAACACCTTCGATCGTGACTTTAACTTTATCGATATTTGGAAAGATATATTCTTCGCTATCGGTCGGTGTTTTTTCCGTGAATAGCATGACGATGGCTTTCATACTTCGACGTGGAAGATTGACGGTTTCGTTGACGATCGTTAAACTTTTATCCCATTCGGTCTTTTTCATCAACGTGGCATGTTCGAAAGATAATTCGCGTTCGGCACCGTAGAGATTTTCGGATTTTCGTGCAAGATTCATATTTTCGATAGATTCGTATTCCAATTCTAAATTTTCCAAGGAATATCCATCGACGGTTTCCCCGCTTTGTGCATTCATGATTTCCGACGCTTGTGGTAACGTGATCACGTACTGAAGATCGTGGGCAGAATGATACGGAGCATACAATCCGTGATCACCTAAAATCTTCGTAATTTTCAACCGTTGTTTCGTTCCGAAAATTCCAAACAATGCAGTAGCATCGGCATCGGCATTGGCCTCGTCATCTTTGGAGATTTTCTTACGAACGGCTTCGGTCGTAATTCCGTCTTGGATCATATCCGCGCGTTGTTTTTCATTCATCCACAAGTCTTTGTAAATTTCCAGTAAACTTTCACCGCTGTTATCGTAGACTTTTTCGCCGGCAAGACGAATCTCTAATCTTTTCTGTAATAATTTTCCCAAGTTATTTCGAAACCATGATTTTTCGTTGGAATTCTTAAATTCGAAGATTAAGGCCATACTATCTGGAACGAGAACAGAATCCGGTTTGAGTTTTGGAATATTTACATAGATTTCTTCCCCGGGTTTTGCAGAATTAGGATTGAACGTGATCAAATGTCGCGTTCGGTTTCCCGTTAGTTCCGTCCTAGATCGACGACTAAAACTAGGACTAAGTTCTTGGGTACGCGTTTCCATTCTTTTATTTCATGGGAATGAAATAAAAAAAAAATTACTTTTTTCTTTTTGTGAAATAATTGTACAAGTATCCTGCGATGAGAATGGCAAGAATCCATAGATTTTTTGCAAGAAATTCTATTCCTTTTGCACCCCATTTCAAAACGGTCGCTAACATATTTAAGATGGGAATTAGAACGGGAAGGGCAGCTTTTGCAATTTTTCCCAACGCTTTTCCAACTTCGCCCACACCTTTTGCAGCACCGACCAACGTCTTTTTTCCGGCGACGACGACGGTCGTAATAATTCCGGCGATGGAAATAGCAATCGCAGATAAAACTCCTAGATTTTCTCTGGCCCAGATTTTAAATTTCTCAAATCTCGTCCGTACATCCTCGCGAACTTTTTCTCGAACGCGATGCACACCTTCTTCGGATTCGGGACGTTCACGCATTTCTAATTTTGCATCGTCGATATTTTGATCGACGATCTCTAACGCTTCGCGAAAAATATCTTGACGTTCAGGATCGGATTCGGTTTCAAAATCTGTTTTAAGTTTTTGACGTTCCACTTTTAAATATTTAATTCGTTCGTCAGGTTCACCTTTGGGAACGGTAATTCCAACCAATTCCCTGGATTCTTGTTCGGTGAATTTCCCGTCGCGATGAAACTGTAAAACACGTTCGTGAAATTCAAGATTATCATCGATATTTTCGTGATGAATTTCATCGCGCACGTCGTCGGAAATGTCGTCGTGGATCTGTAAATTTCCCTCCGGAACTTCTTCTTCCACGATACTGACGAATTTATTTTTATGTTCTTCCGTTGCTTTTTCAAAGGCAGATCTAAAATTTTTTTGGCTATCGGTAACAGTTACATTTTGACTTGTGGATAGTTTGTATTCCCCATTTTTTTCGATGAAGGCAACATCAATATTATCAACTGACAGCCAGTATCCGCGGGTGATATTTAATCTGGAAAATAAATCTTTTGAATAAGGTCCATCATTCGGATTTAATTTATAGTCGTTCCCAAAAAGTTTTTTTATATACTCGGATTTTATACCGACAGAAGATCCAGTCGTGTACAAGGAACTGGTTTCTTTTTTTCTATATTTGAACCTATCACCTTCATTCTGTCTTTTAAAATCTGCTAACCATACTTCGTCGTTTTGCCGATCTAGATCATCCAGTGTCGTTTCACGCAAGTCGTCGCCGAAATCGTCCCCTTCCCACGGATCCCAATCATAATCATGTCCGATCTCGTCGAGTTCGATATATTCGGCCATTGTTTATTTACCACTTAGATCCAATGATAATTCCTGTTCGTAAAATCTTCCTTGAATTTCACGATCGTCATCGTCGGGATCGATGAGTTTATACATGTTCGGATCGCCGCGAAACACTTCCGACACGACGTAAACATCGTTGGTATAATTCGACGTGTATCCTTTCATAAAAGTATCGCGATAAATTTGGTCTCGGACACGATCTCCGACTTTAAATTTTGGTTCCGGAAAGTGAGATAACGGATAACCGTAAAGTTTTGTCCAGACTTTATCTTTATTGGTTTCGTTCACATCGGCAGGTTTCATATCGATCGTTCGATGCTTAGAATGATTGTACGATGCAACAAAATTATCTAAGACATCGATCCATTTTTTTGACTTTGTCGTAAATTGTTGTTCGGTAAAAAATTTCCACATTCTTGTTTTTAACGTCCTGTTAAATCTTTCGACGACCGCCGCTTTTTTTCCGGTCAGTTGCGTTGAAAAATAATGAATGTCGTGTTTTTCCAACAATCCCTTGACTCCGTTATTGTAAAATTCTTTCCCTTCGTCAAACTGAACGACTTTGGGATAACGTCCGAATCTTTCGTGAAATTGGTCCAAGATCTTTTCGACGGCCTGTACCATATCTTTCGTTCCTTTTCGGTAGGCGGGAACGGTAAATGCATATGGACTTAAAATTTCGATGGATGTTAAAATCCATTCGTAACCTTAATTCGCACGACTGAAGGTTTGCATATCTACCAAATCCAATTGTAATTGTTGGGCAAGTCCATCAACATAGGTTCGTTGCGTTTTAAAATGAACTCGCGTCGGTTTGTGAACGACGTATGTATTTTGTGTTTGTAACCATTTTTTCACTTTTTCACGCGTGACACCGGGAATATCTTTTTTTACTGCATCCCGATAAAGCTTTTCCATCGACATGTATCCACCGTTGACGTTAAAATAGAGTTCGCGTAAACCAAGATCCAATGTATCGATAGTTTATAATAAATGAAAAAGATTACAGTTTTTATTCGGGACGGAGAAACTACGATGAAATTACAGAGTCCGCTGATTCTAACACCGGCATCCAAACTCTACGTAAAAACAGTCGCTTTATTCTGGACGTACGAAAATATTCGGAAAGACGACAATAATTATTTTTCCGTCGACAAGAAAAAAGTGATGTTAAACAATGGATACTGGACGTTTAAACAATTGCGTCAAAAATTAGAAAGTCACGGTCTCGTCGTCGAAGATTTTCCAGACGGACGAATTCAAATAAAATTTGGAAAAAGCGTCAAATCTTTTAATCCGTGGAAATTAAATAATCTGTTGGGATACACGACATTCTCGGAATTACATCCGGGTCAGCATCCCGTGGATATTCACGAAGGATTACGTTACGTCACGATCGGTTGTAATTTAGCGAACCGATCTCAAAATATAAATCCCGACGGCTATCCGAGTAGTATCATCTCGTCTCTTCCCATCGACGGAACGAAACCCTTATTCGGCACGACGACGAAATACAACGACATCGAAAGCCAGGTACAGGCCGATGCGGGGATTTACCACGAACTTCATTTCGACGTAAGATCCAACGTCGATGGAATTATACCGTGCAATGCTTTAATAGATTTGTATATCGTCTAGGAAATAAAGATGGAAAAGGATGAACAAGTTTTCCGTAACTATTACGGAAAAAATTACGAGAAGGTCCGAAAAGCTTATCCGTTAGAAATTCAAAAACTTAAAACTAATTTCCTTCGAAAATATCCCAATGCAATATTATCCAAGTTTGAATTTATCGTGACGTTTGTTAAAGATGGAACGTTAAGTTCGACCGAAATTTTTTACAAGGTGGACGAATTCACCAGTTACGATATAACGTCCGAAACATTTTTAGGAAATCCGAAATGGACCAAATATTTATATTGGAAAGATGGATGGCGAAATGTTAAATCCGATATGATATTCCGTCCGAATTTAGACTTTGCCGTAAATTTTCACACGTTTCCTATTTACGTCTCGGAAACAGATTTCTTTCCCGTGGATCTGGAATATACGAAACCCGAGTACGTGGGAACGGGAAATTTTGTAAATTTAATCCCGTTCGACTATCATCAAAATTCTTATTTCAGATCGTTGGCAGCCTGTTACATCGCCACCTTTAAATCCGGAATTTCCGAAAATCATTTGAATAATACGTTGTCCGATTCCCATCTGATCACCTCCATCGTGAAATTTCACGTTCATTATCAGATGGAAAAATTCATGAAAGATCAAAAATTAATAGATCATTATTTAAACGAAGACGATCTTTACGTTTTAGGAAAATACATGCCGACGACCGAAACGTGGGAACGTCGAACATTATCGTCGCATGCAAATCTCGGGACGTGGTATTATGGATTACCCGCCGATACGCGACAAAGAATTCGAAACCGGCATTACGTTCGAACTCGGTACGGTGGAACGTTCATCGAGTACGAATATTTAACGAAAAGACTTCCGAAAAATGTGACGGAAGATTATAAAATATTCATTCCAAAAACGTCGCGAGGACTCACGAAGATCGGACGACGGTTATTTCAACAGAGTCTGGAAGTTTACGTGTATGCGGTTCTTGGTGCGCAGGCCAAAACCCGATGGAGTATCACGGGACAAGGTGCAAAAAGTTTACAGACCCAGGATGTGTTTCGAAAAGTTCTAAAAGATAGTATCGTTCAGAATGATATCACGACGATCATTCGAAACATGCGTACGGCGATCGCGGATACGAACGTCGTGTTAAATTTTGCGATCATGCCGGGTCTGATTCTCATTCTGTCCGACATGCGGATTTTACAAAAAACCCTGAAAGGTTACAGTAATATTTTAACGCTGGCAAAAAGTGGTATGAGTTTTGGAAAAAATGACGAGGTGAATTTTACAGAACAGAGTCCGATGAAAACTTCAACAAGTCCCATAAAAAGTCCTGTGAAAACTTCAACAAGTCCTTCAACAAGTCCCGTGAAAACTTCAACAAGTCCCGTGAAAACTTCAACAAGTCCCGTGAAAACATCAACAAGTCCAACAAGAGATACAAATTTACAAAATCCATCCACTTTGAAAATTCTAGCCGTTGCATCGATGGGAGTTGCTTATTTTCTATTTAAATAAATGAGTATATTGATGGGATACGACTACTTTGACGAATCCGAAGATTTGAAGAAAAAAATGATGGAGATCGAAATGACACAGCAAGATAATACGGCCGAGATTCAAAAGAATAAGACCGAATTGATCGATCTGAGTGAAATCGGAAGAAATCCACCCGTTCGGATCGATCTCGTCCAAAAGGTCGGATTTCCACCTGGATTTCTCGAAAGTGCAGTCATTTCCGAAACCAACCGAAACGAAGCAAAATTCATCATCTTTAAAATCGGTGGATTCGAAATTAATCAGGAAACTCAATCTCCCGCGTATGGATTCCGAAATGGAAATACCGGAAACGTCGTCGTTTTTTGTTCACGTTCTTTCACATGATGAATAAAATTACCGTCTGGGGATTAAAATTTAGAGATCTCGATGCAAACGGAAAAGCAGTCGTTCGGAAAAACGCAACGACGTTAAAATGTTTTTTGGTGACTTAGAAAAATTTTTAAAGTTTTTTACCAACTTAAAAAATTCGCGTCAGTACGTATCCGCTACCGAGTCCGACGACTCCCATCGTCACGTACATATATTTTTGCATTTCATCCGACGGTTGATAATAATCCTCGAATTTTGGTTTACGTTCTAATGCTGATAAATCCTGCCGACGATTATAATTTCTCAATGCATCCAACGCTTTATTCGTCTCTTCGATATCGTGATTCGCGTCCAAGATTTCTTGACGTCGTCGTAATTCGTCGTTCCGTCTTTTGACTTCGGATTCGTAAAATTTTTCTTTTGCCGCGGCTAATTCTTCCAATGCATGATTATGTCTTTTCACTTCTTCCTTGTACCCATTTTGATTCAAGTGAGAAAACAAAAATCCCGCGCCTGCAAATGCGACCGCATTGAATAATCCACCGACTACTAAATTGGTTGTCATTTATTTACCGATTGTTTTTGGAACGTAACCCTTGTCTTTGAGATAGGCCACGGCTACGGAACTTCCTGCCACGGCAACACCGAGTTTCATCGCTCCTTCTAACGTCATCGTTGCACCCAAACTTTTTCCCACGATCATTTTCGCCGCGTACGAAATCCCGACGACTTCGGATGTTAAAAGCGCAGCATCGTATAAATCCTGAACGAGTTCTTTTTTAGTATCGGACATTCTCTCTTTTATTTCTTGGGAAAAAGAAATAAAATTTTTTTTTTATTCTACTTCGAGTCCATCTAATTTACCTTTCAAATATGACACTTCAATCTTAAGTTTTATGATTTCGTCTTCTTTTTTCTCCAATTCCTCTCTGGTCTCCCTAATTTTTTCCTGTGTGACTAGTCCTCCCTTCCTTCCAAGTCTGACTTTTTCTGGATCTTTAAGTTTATCGCTTATGTTTACAAGTTTTTTTCGTGCTTCCTTTTTATCATCCTCTGTAAGTTCACATAGTTCTTCAACCCTTATGTTATCAATAGCTTTCATGGCACCGGGTATCACATATTTCCCAGTCTTTCGAATGGATGGAAGAACGTCATTTACAACCCACCATCTGAACTCCCTTGCAGCGGGTAATCTGGAACCAAATACAAGATCGTAAACACCGGATTCGGTTATAAATACTGTATCCGTACGCATACAAACCAAAGGGTCTAGACTATCGCGAAACGCGATAGTCTGGATCTCACCAAGCGTGACCCTCGATCTTGTATCTGTGTGTTTGATGATCGCATCACTTAGGTTGATGTAACCAAGCGTTGATGCTATCTCCCTGGCGATAAAATAGATTGTCCCATCAACAGATTTAATGGTGGTAATTTTTCCAGTTCCTAATAGTTCCGGAATGGTAAATAACTCTATACTCATCTTTTATTATCGTACAGAGTTTCTTATAAATACTTGGAAATCTAGACTTCCCTGATTCAGGGAAGTCTGGGAATCCTCAATCAAACAAGTCGTCGAACGGTTCTTTCGGAGGATCTTTTTCTACATCGTTGTTATTCTCGTACATAATTTCTTGTTTCACGGGATTTTTCTCGTCGCGACTCCTCCATGAAAGATACCACGATCCTAATCCAATTCCCAGTCCAAATAACATACAAAGTCTTTCGACGGAAATCCACCTCCATCATTTCCCGTCATACAACTTTCGCGGACTTCTGCTTTTATATTTTCTTCGGTCCTTGCTTTTTTCGCAGCTTTGGCCTGCTGACTTATTTTTGCCAATCTTTTTCCCGCTTCGACACGACGCGGATCTTTGATTTTTTCGGAGGGTCTAAAGGCTTGGTCACCGGAACGGATTCTGGATTTACTTCTGTCATTTTATTATATGGAAATACTTGAATTTTGTTTAACTTTGTTGAATTTTGTTGAACTTTGTTTAAATTTTACTTGTGAGGATCTGTAGGACAAACGTAAAATTTTTGTTATCAAGAAATTTAAGAACGGTCTTGGATTCTGTTACAAGTTGTTACCAAGACTTACTTGCAAGGAATCCGAAAATAGTCTTGGATTTTGTTACAAGTTGTTACAAAGACTTACTTAAAAAATATCCTTGTGTCCATGTGCCAGCGTGTGAATTCCATCCTTACAAATATGACGCTTGTCGTCGTCGGACGATAATGCTACTTTTGTAATCCTTTCCGTACGAATACAATGATCGTAACTTCGAATCACATCCCTCTCACGATGTTGTTTCTCTCCCGTGAAAAGACAATCTTTAAAATCCTCGTAATTCATCGTTCTCTTGATCGTTGCTTTCTTGATTCCCTTTGCTCTTTTTCCTTCACTACCATCTTCTAATTTATAAGCGTATAATTTCGCACGCAGTGCAACCATCCCGACAATCTGAACCGCCTCCGTTTCAAATTTCATCATTCCCAAAACCTTCTTGTTTTTTCCACACGGAATTCCCGACGGATGAGATTTTGGAAAGTTACTCGTATCGAACCATTCGTTCACATTGTTCGAAATATCTTTGAAAAAGTCGTTAGTTTTTATGCGTAAGACGAACGAATCCGTGTCCGTATACATCAGTCTTACATTTTTACCAAATTTAGGTTTCAGATAATCGTAGAAAAATTTATACATGTGAATCTTACTCAGATCTAAAACTGCGGCTTCCACGTAAATTGGTTTATTCAAGTAAAACTCTGTCTTTGCCATACGAGCCGCTACCAAATCTTCCGAAAAAATAGTCGCCTTTTCAAAATTCCATTTCCTCGCCAACTTATTCCATCCCTTTTCGTCGTTGACCAGTTTGATATCCGTCCGGTTTCTCACGTTTTCCATCGTCTTTCCAAAAATTGCGTTACACATCAACTTGTAAAAATCCTTCTTGAAATCCGTCGTCGCTTTTTTACGAAGTTCGATATTCATATGAATATATTCGGCCAACCACGGTCGTTCCGAAAACATAACACCCCCGTGAATTTTCGATAATTTCATACCATGTTCAAGGTAAAATTTTAAATTTCTCGCGTGGAGAATATACTTTTTCTTATCGTATAAATTCGGTGCCAGTTTTTCACCACCACTTTTTGTTAACATCCTTTCCGGAGCAAGCGGACAGTCGCTGTGAAGATCGTGAAGTTCCTCCGGATATTCTAAATCTACTTCTAAGAAACAACCCTTTCCTTCCGGAAAACGATCCCATTCTTCCTTCTCCTGTTCGGACATCCATTCAAAGTCGGCGTAGGGTAACGGTTGTGTCATGACGTGAGAATACAAACCGTTTGCATCCAAGTACGGAATGAATACGGAATCATCCTCCTTTCCGTGATCGCTAAGACATGTTACCCATCGCGTCAGATTCCTTTCGATGTATTTCATAATTTTATCGTCGTCCTCCTGATTATAATCCCATAAAAATTTACAGACCTCGTTCTCAAATTCCAAAACCTTTTCGCGGATATCGGTCGGATCCTTTCTGATTTTTGAATCCAAGTCTCGCATTAAATTTATAATTCCTTCGGGAACTTCTGAAATCCCAACATATTTATTATCGACCGTTCCGTATCGCATTACCGACGTACTTATTCCACCGCGAATTCCTTTTTCTATAAATCTATACATCCGAGGGGAGGTAATTAACTCTAATTTAACCATCGTCTTTTTTAATGCCGCTTCCCACGAAAGTCCTGGTGCCGTGTAATACCACGGTGAACCCAGTCCGTACGTTTCACGACTTTCCTTCCGAAAGTTTTCGATCACGTCGGATAAAATTAACGTGTCCGTTACGAGATATAAATTATGATAATCCAACATGCTTTTCATTCCAAACGTCTTCCATACTTTTTTCGCGCGTTCGTATTCCTCGTCCGTGATGTCTTCCATTTTTAATCCGTTGTAAAAAAATCTTTTTGGTGGAAGACGACTCCTGTCAAGCTTTTCATGATCGTCCATGTATTCGTAAGGATAAACTCCCTTCTGTTTTAATAAGTCCCGTTGAATCTTCGTATATCCCATTTCGTCGCAATATCGATCCAACTGTATAAAATCCGTCTCCTTATCCAATCCGTTCGCTAATTTTTCTAACGACGATTGCATCAACTTACCCGAATCCAGAAACCGAATTTCAACTTTCTTGTTGTATTTGTCTCCCGTTTCCTTATCCACAAAAGGCAATATAAGAAATGGAAGGAAATATAATTTTGTTCCGTTTTCGAAATACTTTTAAACCTACCCGGAATTCTTGCAAGTGCACGAATAATTAAATGGGCGTCGTATCCTTCGAGATTATGAAAATAAACGGGAACAAACTCTGGTGCAGACATTTCGAGATTACATACGTTGCATGCAGCTCCCCGGTATTTTCCTGTAAAATGACAGTGGTCTCGTACCTTCCAATTTTCTTCCGAAAATTCAGAATTACATACGTAACATCTCGTCTCCGATTGATGTGACTTTTTTAAATCCTCGGACATTTTCTCCATGGGAAGTGGATCGTGGGTGTTCCGAAAAAATTCACTTACCTTTGCAACAAGATCATCCACAAACCTATCCGATATACATTGTAATTCGTGAACCGATGTTCGTCGAACCGTTTCCGACTTCATTCTATCTTCGTTCGTACTTACAGTATGAAAACAATAAGAATTCATCACGTGATCGTGTAAATGTTTCCTTCCCTGACCTTTTAATTTCTTCCTACTAATTCTTCCAAACTTTTCCTTTTTCTTCAAAAAAGATTCCGTATCCGCACTGATGACGTACGGATGAATTTGTGTCCTTTTTTCTCCGTTAAACTTACAGACGGAACCTTTTGCAGGATACTTACCCACTCCTTTTACCTTCTCGTTTAAACATCGTTCTAAATGTTTCGTTAAAAGATCCTCGCGCCCAAATCCATTCAAACACTTGTCGCAAAAACACTTGACACGTCTATCCTTTGTCATCTGTGATCTGATCAATCTCGACATATCTTTCACGACGTAATAATGTTCGTCCCACAGAAAAAGTTGGATTACTGTCGTTCCACCCGACGAATAACATTTACTGATCCTTATCGGATAAAATCCATCGTCCTTATCCCACGAAAACACGTTGACGTTGACGCCGTTATTTACCTCGAAATTCTCGATAGATTCTCCATCGATCGGAGTCGGAAATTCAACCCTTTTCCAATTTAAATTCTCCGCCTGTTTACGAAGTTTCTTTGAAATCCTTTCGGAATTTCTTTCCACCGGATTTAAAAAACGGGTCACTGCCCACTTAAAACATTCGTCGTCTGTATTTTTCATATTGATCAGTGCATGCTTTTTTCTTATAAAATCCGGAAGCGGAATTGAACAACCCTTTCCCTTGAACGGAATAAATTTCCCGACGTGAATAAACAAACGCTGGACTCTTTTCAAAACATAGCGAGAAAACTCTAGCAAAATCTTATCCTTCATCTGTTCCCAAATCTCATCCGTCAACGTACCAACACCGTGAAGCTTATAATTTTCCGTCATGAAATTTACCTCCTTCAATTCCTCTTTTCCATCCACCAATTCCTTTCCCATCAGACAAATTAATTCCAACCTAATATTTCTGGACATATTTCCGCGTAATCCATCCAAAAGTTCGCGAACTCTCGGACGGACAAGTTCCAGAAACGTCAACACATCAAAAGCGGTTGTCGGTTCGATCTTATATTTTTCCACCATTCCACGTATCGCCGAATTTTCTTGAATCGGTGTCAACTCTAAGTATCTTGCTTCCGCTTCCTTTTTCTTCCTACGTCTTGTTCTTTCGTACTCGTTCCTGCGAAGTCTACGTTCTCGTTGAATAACTGTTTCGTTCAAATCGCGGAGACGCTTCTTTTCCTGGTTAGCCTGTTTCCTCTTTTCCTTCTCACGCTTTTTCTCTGCCGCCCTTTCGCGAATAATTTTACCGCGCTGGTTTTGCTCTTCTTTTGCACGCTTTTTTTCTGCTGCTTTTTCCCTCCTAATCCTACCGCGACGGTTCTGCTCTTCTTTTGTAATACTCTTTTCCCAACCCCTTGATTCCTCGTGAATCTTTCGTCTCGCTTCTTTTTCACGTTCCTTTAATTCTTTCCTTGATCGTCTCTCGCTATCGAGAAATACATCGTACATCCGTCTCAGGAACGGAAGACTGTCCGAATTTCCTCTGTTACTACCTTTCATTTATTTAATGGAAAAAAATTTCCTAACCCCGAACGGGTTAGGAAAAAAATGATTAGTAACAGAGGTCTTGGGTTCCGGACAGTCTTCTTTTCTTGTACCCTTTTATTCATATAAGATGTTGATGGAAAAAAATTTTTTATATGTGAATAATCCCCTTATAAATTGGTTACGCGTTCCTTACACAAATCTTTCTATAAGTCTAGTTGTCTCCTCGTCAAACACCGGATAAGGTTCCCGGTAAAGGCTGGAATCACGTTCCATACAAAGTAACCTAACACCTCCCCTAAACGGAAACCTAAAATTAAACACATGCACTTCCTTCAGATCATAGACAGGCGATAGCATAGAATAACAGCATGTACGACGATGCCTGTCAAATCCCTTCAAACTATAAAAAGATATTAAACATCGATCGCAAAATATTCTGGACGAGCTGTTCCTGCTTATCTCACCCGACCACAAGCGACTAATACTTTTAACCGGGTAAAAAACACCGCCGTGGTAAAATAATGTTATGTTCCTCGTAAATCTCCATCCTGCAGTTCTCAATGCTACAATAGTATCACCCGATAGTCCAATTATATTCAAACCGATCCCATTACCGCTTACAAACTTACTAGCATCCTCCGGCAACGTCGGAAACCTAACATCCTCCCAATTCAATTCTTCCGCCTGAAGACGAAGGATTTTTGTAATTCGTCCGGAATTCCTTTCCACAGGATTCAATGCACGCGTCACAGCCCACTTAAAATTTTCGTCACCACTTTTCTTCATTGTTATCAAAGCTTTCTTAGACGCTATAAATCCAGGTAAACTCATCACTACTCTCTATTTATTTACAACTCTTATAAAACGATCCACAATCGTCAAACGGTGATTCCGCAACAAATTCCCTTTCTTTTTTCACAGATACTTTTTCCGGACCCTGATATCTTTTTCTCTTCGAAAAAAACTTTTTTAAAAGAAAAGGAAACTCAAACGTTTTCCCGAGGGAAAAAGAAAAACTTTTTTTCAAGACTTTGAAAAAAACTTGAAGGTAAACCTTTTTTTTTTCGAGACTCCGAAAAAATTCTTTTCGAGATTCTGAAAAAAAAAAGACTTAGAAAAAAACTTAGAAAAAAAAAGACTTAGAAAAAAACTTAGAAAAAAAACACTGGTTCTGGCACTTTGAGTTATAAGGAAGGAATAGACCCTTCTCATGTCGTGGTCAAACATAGTTTCAACAAATCATGAACATTCTCAGGAGAAAGATTAGTTCTTTGAGATAATGTAATATCTGAAAGAAGTCTTTCTTTCGCGATATTACAAGCCTCGTCAACTGGAACATCAGTGAACAAGCTAACTACGTCAAAACTTACCGGAATGTCATTCTTACCCAATCTAATTTGTTCCATTTTTGTTACAAATTCTTTAGAATTTACTACATGATGATCTGTTTTTCCAACAACTGGTTTCAATATCTCAGCGAGATATTTAGCCAGGGCATACGTTGGCGAACCTATGGACGAATAAGAATAGGAATAGTTCAAAATAGTATAAGGATAGTTCAAAATAGTATAAGAATAGTTCAAAATTAAGTATAGTGTTTTGTGGGAGTTTATCCCACACATGACTGATTATATAGGTAAAAGAATCATGATAATATAGATTGTTATAAACCGGTTGGATCAATGTTCCTTCCACGTTTTCTTAAATTGTACACTGTTTCACGTCTTTTTAAAAATTCTCTAATATAAGCAGAACGCTGCCCAGTAAAACACTTATGCGCAATAACTAAAGATTGGCAAAATCGTCTGCCTTTTCCAAAACTGTTCTATAATCAGTATTTTTATTCATGCCCAGTAATGTTCTCAGACCAACAATTTGTCGACTCTAACTTGTTGGTTAATGTCTTCCCAATACTAAGTAAGACTGGATTGCAATATTCCAACTGGGGTAAAACACATATCTTATACATTCGTACAGCAATATCAGCAGGGATAATTCTTTTGAGTCGACGTAGTGTACCAATTTTAGCACGTGCTTTTGCTCTAATTTCCTTAACATGTTCTTTAAATGTTAGTTTTTTGTCAAAGGTCATTCCCAATTCGCAAAATGCGTAACAAATTCATTGACAAGACTTGTTTATTGTCAATATGGAGGTCATAGTTATAATAGTAGTAAAGCCCCCCACTTGGGCAACGGAAGTAATTAGTATGCAAAATCTCCGAAAGTAATTAGTATGCAAAATATGTGACGTAACGTTGCTGGCCCTAACCCTAACCCTTGGCCAGGTAGCGCGACCAATTAACGCAGGCAGGCCTGGGCCAAACGTGACAGGTAGCACGACCAATTAACGCGGGCAGGCCTGGTCTAGATTGTTTTTTTTTTTCGGGTGATTAAAACCTACTCTTGCGATAGCTCAGTTGGTAGAGCGGAGGACTGTAGTTCCTTAGGTCGTTGGTTCAAGCCCAGCTCGCAAGATTTAAAAACAGGCGTTCTTTTTCGCGGAAAAATGTATATGTATTTCGGAGCCTAATTCAAAATAACCGGAAACTTTGAAAGCTTACAGCGAAGCATATAATCTAAATAGCTCGGAGTTTGGCTCGAAGCCGGTCCGTTCGAAGCATAGTCTTTAGTTGACAACGCTTGGTTCATGCCTACACGGTAAAGTTACTACCTCTTCGACTACGAAATATGGTACATGTTGATTCTGTGGGAAAAAACTTTTAGAACAGTTGTAATATATTTTGTCATAAAAAATTAACTCAAATATGTGCAGTTGCTATATACGTTGTTATGTATTGTCGGTCATTAGCGGCGCTTTGGTGCATGCATATATTAATGTACGACATAGTTGTACTCAGGCGGGCAGGTTACGCGGATAGGAAAGATCGGGCTTTGCGGGCAAAAATTTACACAAGATTTCAGTTTTAAAATTGCATTTATTTCTTCAAAACGTTTTACAAAATTTAGTACGGTCTACTTCTCAGAGCATAGCGTTTAGGTGTTTTTGTTATTTTTAAAGAGTTCTCATATTCTTGTCTATCTTCAGGTGATAATCGTGCAACATCTTCATGTTTCATTGGAATATATTTCGGTCTTTCGTTTAGTAAAAAACGTTCATAGCGCTCTCTTTCCTTCGGTTTCATCATAGCCAGATCACTTTCTTTCCAATCAGCAGAATCTACCCAATTGTGAAAAAAGTTGCGCTTGAGTTTTGGTCGTTCCTCTTCTGTTTGTGGCGGTGTAAGGAAATTAGGCTTAGGAGTGGCAGGTATTGGTGATGGTATTTCCGTTGGCACAGAAATAGGAGGTACTTGTGGTGGTATTTCTGCAGACACTAGTGGAGTTCTCTGAACAAGGGCTTGAGCCGGGACATCCATCTTATTTTTGAATGTCAGAAACCGGTTTAGCTGATCAGAATATAACTTGCTTTTGTCCACTGCGCTCAGCTGTGGCGCTTCTATGATTTCTTTCATTCGCTGCTCGGCATCATACATTGCATTTAATTGTGGTGGTTGTTGATACGACTGTTTTTGTATAAACTTTGCAATCTCGCCGGGAAGTACGTTGGTCTTGAGTCGCTGTTGGTCGTCTGTTGTTGGCTTTAAATCCAACATCAAGTATCCGTGAGGTCGGTTCGTGGCAGCTTCATAACTCTTCATAAATTCTTGTACTTTACCAGGATCTACCTGCCTTGCAAGCATAGAAATTTGCTGTTTATCCCTTGGTGACTCGAACAACACGATATAATGAGCATTAAGGCTGATATTTCTCATTTCTTTGCCCTGATGAAATATGTTTTGGACAATATAGATGATGGACAAATTTCTATGATGGCTTCCTTTCGTAAAAAGATCAGAAATACGTTTATCTTTGCCAGATTGAGCCATAAGATCATCCAATACG